TTCTATACTTATACTTTTTTACTCGATACTTTACTGCTCGATCTTTTCACCATTTCCCGACATACCAGGGCCACATATTACCAGCTGTTGGTATTTCAGGGATCCGCATTACCGATGTATTTCACTGGACGTAAAATTTCTAAATTTTAAATTCTGAAATTTAAAATTTTTCAAAATTTTTGAAAAAGTATCAGGGGGACATGAGCGTCGAGGAGGTATTCAATTTTTAAACGATATTTCAAATGATTAGTCATTTACAAAAAGAAAATAGGAATTATTAAAAAAAAAATGGATGCTGGCGGGATCGAACCCCAGCCGTCGGCGTGCTAGCCAAGCACGTTGCCCATTAGGCAACGCGCTCATTATAATATTATAATTTCATTAGTAGTATATCTTCAATATATTGAATCATTTTTTCCATTGGAAATTCCACAAGACGTGGCTTCCCTCTTCCACTCGTTCTGCAGTCGGCTAAATCTCAGTTAAACAAATAAAAAACAAAAAGCATTCATAGCGTAGAAAATAAAATTCACCCCCTCGACTTGTTGGACACCCCAGCATTGTGTATGGCGCCCTCTCTCTGTTGGGGTGCAGTACTACCATGTCGCTGGGGTCATTCAAACCCCCAGAACTGAGCCTCTACTTTAGTCAATCCTCTTTGCTCACTTCTCTCGATTTTCAATATTCGTGTCCGTCCATAAGGCCGCCAAGTTTCCCCGCACCACATGTAGCTGATAAATTATGGCGGTATCCAATATATTTCCAAAAAAAGTTGTATTTACGTTATGTATTCTAATTTACACAACATTTCCCACTGCGGAAACATCACGATTAAATGTTCCTCGTGTATTACTACCAGTTTTCAACAACTTCCCAGTCAACTTTACCTTAGAAGTAACCGAAGGAGGTTGTTACCAATGGTAATCTTCCAGAACTATCCATTTTATTTGCATTTACATTTTACTGACCCCTAGAAAATTCTGGGCTCATAGTTTCCTCCAATTTCCAATCAATTTTAATTCACCAATTGCTTTGTTCATCTCGAATAGGTCGACATCACGTCTGGATGTTGTTCATCTGATTCCCATGAATGAGAATCAAGACAGAACATGTTCATCAGCAGTCCTAGTCCAGAGTATAACCAGAGAGCTCACCAGGAATACAGCAATCGTTCTCGCAGAGGACGTGAACACCGGGCAATTTTTGAGGTGTGACGTTATTGTAGACGCAATTTACTCGCTCAATCTCGTGACAACTACCAGGGAATTGTTCATCGAAGAGGCCCCAGAGGCCTTTGAGGTACGAGCTTACGATGAGCAGGGAAATGAATTCACGACTCTGGCTGGGGTGGAGTTCGAGTGGACCATTGGAAACGGAGAGAGGTACAGCGTTCAAGGGGACATTGGCAACAGCATTCTGAGATTCATGACCTTCCAGGAGTCACCCTATGAAAC